AAATACACCTTTCTAAACGCAGCCTGTTAATATTTTATGGGAAGATGGAAATTGCTCCATAGAAGAAGACGACCTGTTTGTAGTTTGCTAAACCTGCAGCAAAAGCTTCAGTTATTCACTTGGTTTAGAACAAAAACACCTAACATGTTGAAACAGTCTAGTCAAAGTCTGTAATCGAAATTTAATAGGGAATATATACAAGGCTGCACATCCAATCTAACACGGAGAGAAATAAGTGTTTGTAGAAATACTGTATAAAGCCAGGAGGATGCACTGCAAAAACAAGCTAGAAATCAGTAAAAAAAATCTTAAAATGAGTGTTTTTACCCTTAAATTTAGCAGGTAAATACAATACTTTGCATATGGAATGAGTGTTTCTACTCTGCTGCAGGCTGCTGCAGGAGCCTGCAGCAGCCTGCAGGAGCCTGCAGGAGCCTGCAGCAGCCTGCAGCAGCCTGCAGCAGTCTCAGTCGATGTGCTGCAGTTGATGTGCAACACATGCTAATTCCTGAGGGGTTCCTTAAACAAGAGGTTCTTAATCTCAGTGGGATTATCCTGGTTAAATAACGGTTAAATTAAATTAAGTTTCTGTGTCTCAGCAGATTACACTGGAAAAAATCCAAATCTAGATAAGTCATTTTTTTCTTCAAATAAATTTGAAGAAATTTGTTCTTGAATTGAAGAGGGAAAAGAAACATTTTGCCAACGGAACAAGACAATTTAGATTTAAAATAACACACCACAGCTACACTGTTTTATTTTAAGTGCATATTATTTAATTATCTTATTGTTAGCGGAAAAATCCTCCAATTGCATCTCATTTAGCTAGTTAGATCAAGGGTAAATAACCTTAATTTAAGACATTTTTTACATGTTTCTAGATTTTTTTTCCAGTGTACCAGTCCTTCTCCTACACTGGAAAAAAAATCTAAATCTAGATAAGATAGATAGATAGATAGATAGTCATTATTTCTTAAAATAAGAGCATTTGTTCTTGAATTAAGAAGCTAAAAGAGAATTTTGTCAATGGATCAAGAAAATGTAGATTTAAAATAAGAAAAAAACTATTGCATTGTCTTATTTCAAGTGCATGTTATCTAATTATCTTATTTAAAGAGTATAAATACTCATTCCATTGGCAAACTACCTCATTTACCTGCTCAAATTAAGAGTAAATACACATAATTTAAGAAATTTTTACTTATTTCTATATCGTTTTTGCAGTGTAGAAGTGGCTGAGTACACTGGAAAACATCTAAATCTAGTTAAGTAATTCTTGCTTTTGTTCTTGGATTTATGAGGTCAAAGAGACATTTCGCCAATGGATCCAGACAATTTACACTTAAAATAAGAAAACACAATTGCATTGTCTTATTTCAAGTGCATCGTATCTATTTATCTTTTTTATAGAGTAAAAATACTCATCCCTTTGGCAAACTATATCTTTTACCTACTCTAATTAAGGGTAAATACACTTAATTTAGGAGATTTTTACTTATTTGTAGGTCGTTTTTCCAGTGTTTTGTATGAATTTGGACCAAAATTTGATAAATTTCCCTCCAATGACATAGAACTGCATGCATTGAATCCCCCCCCCCCCCATCCCCCTTTATGTCACAGAGACACAGTTTTTCTCACGACACCACCAGTGAGGTAGACCCGGGTTGAAGAGGAGGTGTCTATAAGCTGACCCCTAACTCCTCCAAATCTCCTCAGAACAAAGCCCGGACCTATCCGTCAAGCTCCTGAAGTATGCTCAGAGACACCCCCGGTTTGGTTCAGCAGCTCTGCAGCCTGACTTCAATCAGGGGAGGGGACACGGGTGGCGGGGGAGAGGGGAGAGGTCATACGTCTTATCCACACCTTGAATGGCGCGGCAGACTGATGGTCGCAGGAATGCAGCACGGGACGCTGCGGCTGTGGGGGAAGTGGGTCCATCCTTAATGAGGACCCCCCCCCCCCTCTGGCTCTGTGGGCAGAGTTAGCCCCGCCCACACACAAACGCACCGCTGGCCCAGTCCGCTTCCCGCTCCTTCCCTCCAGCTCCCTTTCTTTCCTTCAATTCGCTTGAAGATTTATTTGATCCTTTATTTGCTTCATTCAGAGAAAAAACTGTAAAATCTTCTTTGAATAAAACAGGCCTCTGATATCGGATTTATTTTTCTGTACCCAAACTTAAATAATGTCCAACATTAAATATTAATGTTGCTATTGATTTCCTCCATAAGATGTTTGGTTTGCATTGCTAACAACCAGAACATTGATTTTATTCTGACTCACCGTAATCCTTCTTGCAGTATTTCTTCATGTTGATTTTCAGTTTCCCTTTTGATGCTTTGCAGTAAGAGTCACAGTCTGCAGAAATAAAAATAAGAAGTCGAGTTAATTGGTCATAAAATGAAAGAGCTGAAAGAGACAAACATTTCTATATAAGCCATGGTTGCTAATAGCAACCGCACATATCAACATGATTAAGTTTTAAGAAAAGCAAAAAACTATAACATTAAAATGACCATTTAACTCTTTTTTTTTTTAAATTAAATAACAAATAAAATATACTTTAAAAAATACTTCCAGAGGAAATGAAAAGGAGTGAAAATTTAACAGCTAATTCTGTGCAGAACCTAAACTGAAAAGCAAACAATTTCTCTTTCTTTAGAGTTAAGAAGATTAACTTCAAACCATTTTAAACTCATTAACTTTCTGTATTTCTGCTACATGTCCAAAAAAACACAACCGATTCTTTCACAATAAAAGTCAATTAAAGCGCATTACTTGATTGGATGTGTGACGGTGTGACATGCAGAGGAGTCAAAAGTATTCATGTTTATTCCTCCTGTATAAATCATACTCATTAAAAACTCTTTTGTAGAAGTTAGAGGATCAACTTCAGCTTTTTACTCCAGTAAAAGTGTAAAAAGTAACATTTTAAAGTATAAAAGTAATGCAGGAAAAAATGTTAATGCCAGAAGCTTTACTGCTCTACTCTATTAAAGGAACATTTTCTATAATTCTGGATGATTCCTTAGACTTATTAAACAGCGTCACATTTAACTTTGCATCATCTGGAAAAATGATTTATTTTGCTATGTGGTGAGCAACAAGTTGGGGCAGCACCGAGTCCAACCACAAAAAAAATGAATTGTCTGGATGAAACTAATTATTTTGATGGTTTTAATCCAAATAATTAGTCTAAGTCTAGATGCCATGTTCTTTATGGACATCCATTTCACTTAGTTTGGGAATGTTGGCCTGGTGAGCAGTAAGCTTGTGCTCTGAAAAAGTTGCATGCAGGGCAACAAACTAACACCAGGGCTAACGTTAGCCGATCTGCAGCAGCCAGGGCTAATGTTAGCCCGTCTACAGTGGCCAGGGCTAACTTTAGGCCGTTTGCAGCGGCCAGGGCTAACGTTAGCCGGTCTGCAGCGGCCAGGGCTAATGCTAGCCCGTCTGCAGCTGCCAGGGCTAACGTTAGGCCGTCTGCAGCGGCCAGGGCTAACGGCAGCGGCAGTCTGCAGCGGCCAGGGCTAACGTTAGCCCGTCTGCAGCGGCCAGGGCTAACGTTAGCCCGTCTGCAGCGGCCAGGGCTAACGTTAGGCCGTCTGCAGCGGCCAGGGCTAACGTTATCCCGTCTGCAGCGGCCAGGGCTAACATTAGCCCGTCTGTAGCAGCCAGGGCTAACGGCAGCGGCAGTCTGCAGCGGCCAGGGCTAACATTAGCCCGTCTGTAGCAGCCAGGGCTAACGGCAGCCCGTCTGTAGCAGCCAGGGCTAACGTTAGCTCGTCTGCAGCAGCCAGGACTATCGGCAGCCCGTCTGTAGCAGCCAGGGCTAACGTTAGCCCGTCTGCAGCAGCCCTCTCTCTGTATAGCCGTGTGTGAAGGACCGCTGGCTCTGATGTTTTTTTTTTTTTATTTGGCAAAATGTTCATTTTCTCTTCTATCTGACTGTGTTCATTATTATTCACCCGCTAGATAAAAAAAAGTCATAATTTATTATCATCTATAGACTATTAATAACAGGAGGTGAAATGCATCTCCAGACGAGCTGAGCGTGTGGTGATGTCATCATTACGCCAATTGATCCATATTTATGCTGCGTGCTCCGGTTCTCCCAGGGTCCAGACTTTTCTGGGTTCTTCAAAAGAACAGACTTGAGAAACGGCCATTGGTTTCAAGCCCTGGTTCCTAGTACCCAGATCGATCCCCGCAGCCTCCACTCTGGGTTCCTGAGCGAGACCCTTCACCCCCCTCTGCTCCCTGGGTGCTGCACAATGGCAGCCCACTGCTCCCCAAGGGGATGGGTTAAATGCAGAGAGGTAATTTCTCTATTGTGAGATCAATAAAGTAAAAAATTTAATAAAATAAATACCAACAGGCCATAATGAAAATGAGCTTAAATGAAACAAAACTAACGAGTCTATTTTATATAAGGTATACACTAAATCTCGCCTTGTTTGTCAGGTATGTGCTAAGAAAAAATAAAGATATATTTAAATACAGAATAGCCTGTTAGTGTGTGTGTGTGTGTGTGTGTGTGTGTGTGTGTGTGTGTGTGTGTGTGGGGGGGGTTAGAGTTGGCAGCTATTCTTGGTTGGGGGGTTGAAGGTGGGATGGGGAGTGGGTCAATGCCACACAAAGGGAGGTCAGGAAGGAAAAATTAGCCATCCATGAAGCCGTCTTTGCTTTGGGTCGCGGGGCAGCAGGAGGGGCGTCCATGTTGGAGCCGTGAATAAATAAATACGCCACGCAGGCTGCGGGTTTATCCACACGGCCTTACAGCTCTGGGCTGAAGAAAAACTGTCAAACACACAGTCATGTTTGAACGAACGCTCTGAGTGGGTCTGTGCGGGATTCTGTCATGTAGTTTAAGAAGACGGCAGATTTTGACATAGAAATACAAAAAAGGATGCTGTTTATACAGAGCAGTGAGCGCCCTGCTGCCAAAAATAACCACACAATGTTCAGGGAAACACCAGACCAATGATCAAACTGTGAATCTCTGCAATGCATAATTTTTCTAAACTTTTAAAGTTAACAGTTTTTATAGTGAAACAAAAGCTCTACCAACTGAAAAAATTAAATAGAATATGCTGAGAGATTAGATATGTATACTGGACGCTACCGTTGCTCATATGGCATCTGGAGCTCTGTTTGGCAAATTTCTAATCTCCAGTTTATGATTTAAGCTGATTTAAACTTATGTCCTGTTAAATGTCACGTTCCATCCACCAGATGGATTCGGTGCCTCCAGGTTTGCAGCCTCATACCTCCACAGTAAGGCAACCGTCTGCCAATCCAGCAGCTCTCTATGGCCGACTAGGTCTTCCTAAATATTCATTCTATTCAGTGTATTTCTATAGCTCCAATTCACATCATGTCATCTCAG